GACTAAGCAGGGGAAGGGTTTAAAAAGAAAGCTGAAATACTAATCAAGAAACAGGATAAACTATATTGCAGTTGCATTGCTAATTATTTTCAATTCCAAAGATGCAGTATGGTCTGTAAGTGGCCTTCCTGGCACAATTCTTTGCTGCTGACAGGGAGGGTTTCAAAGCAGCTCTTGATCATGTACAAATGAAGAGAATTTAGAGAAACACCTCTTTTTCCTTTGAGACAAAGCTGATGATACATTTAAAGATGATTATTTTTTAAAGTATTACTGCCTTAAATATGATGAAATATTTCCACTGCCTAATTACAGTTTGTATGAATTATTGATCTTGAAAGGCAGCAGCTGATTTCCTTTTGAAGAGCAAAGCAGATGAGAAGCAGTAGCTTCCCCCTTCCTCAAAGCTGTGATAAAGGAGATACCCTACAGTAGCTTGTGGTGACCATTGCAGAGTTGCATATATTCATACAGAGCGTATTAATTTAGGGGAAGTTTCTAACGCTACTTCCCAGCAGTGAAGACTGATGTTTCATGATGCTGACTGCCTCTCAACTCTGGGCAGAGAACCCTTAAAACATCCCCCCCTCTGGATTTAGAAGCTGCTTGTCCATTAGCACTAAGGAAACAGTTCCAGAGTTGAGCTGATTTCAACTATAGGTCCAAAACACTTGTTTCAGGGGAAGTTCAACTTGCTATAACTTGAGAGGGATGTTCTGTCTATGAAAGTAAACCAACATCATCGTGCACCTCCAAGGATCAGACCACAGGGACAGAGGAGATTTACTTTAATAGGCATGTACCACTTTTATTTTTTCCCCCCAAAAAACCCAGTAATAGAGATGTGTTAATAGGATTCAGATCAGGCTCTCATGGAAAGGCTGTCCATTTGCAATGCTGCAGATACCACTATTGAACTTCCCCTTTTCATGGGCTTGCAACAATTTCTGTGGTGCTAAATGCTTGCGTTACCTCTGCTGTAGCGTGAGCATGCCCTTTCTTGAGAGGAAGGTCCAGCAGCCCGGGAAGGGTCAGGAGGGCATCCCTGGCCAGCGCTGAGGGAGGGGAGCTGAGCTGGAAGGCCGCCTGTTACACTTGTGTTCTGCAACACAGCCGGACTCAACAACTGCACCTTTGTCATTCTTCCCCCGCACCACTCAAGATTCTGTTACTACACACTTGGGAAGAGTCCTTCATCTGACAATAGGTGCTTTTTTTTTTCTTTTCTTTTCGAGCCCACATTTATTGTAAACAATATTACTGCAGCTCTTTACCAAGAAAGTCTGGAAGATTTTTTTGATAAAAGAACCTATATTACCCCTGCTGGTAACAGACAGCTGCTATTTCCACATACAGCAGCAAGGTGGGAAACGAGGTCTTTTACAGAAGAATTTTGACCGAAGATTCTTAAGTTCTCTCACGCTTCCAGGTATTTTTAATAAAGGCATACACTACATAGAGTACAAGAAATACTTGGGCTGCACATGAACTACGGCCATTCTCCCCAGCTGTGTGTGTCCCCCCCCAGTTCAAGGTTTTCCAGAAGTGTTTTTAAATGAAGCAAGCACTCCACGCTTGGTAGCACTATAGCAAAGATATATTTCAACTTCAACATTTCCAAAACAAGAGGGAACAAAGAAAACATTTGACATCTCAAAGTGTGCTTCACAGGCAAATAATGAAAGACAGAATCATGCAAGCTTCTCTGTTTCCAAGCTTAAGTTACAAGCAGCATACAGTGTTCTCAAATGCACTTTCCAGTAAACTTGTTTGTACATCATAAAAAGTATCATATACACAGAAACCAAATCCCACATCCTCCCCAGCCCAAGAGGTAGTCTGAAAAAGTCTCACATCCCATCAGAGAAAATGTTATTTTTTTTCTCCAGTGCTTTTGATTACACCCAACAACTTAAAACAGTGTTTAACACTGGCTAGACAAATACCTTAACAAGGGGCACCTGCAAGTACTCCTAAGCAACAAAGGAAACGTGTTTAAACCCAAACTGAAATACCCGAATGCTGAAAGGATCTCTTCAGGTTTCTACATTTTGCCCTCCTCAAAGAAGGGCCTTGCAGTGCAACACAGAACAACGACTTTGAAAACTCTCATGACCGCGTTCCCAATCTGTTTTGAATATTACTGTTCCCAAACCCTTCCTGAAGGGAAACCTACTGCTCTTCCTTGTTGCATGTTTGGGCAGGTAAGCTTAACTGCCAGGATGACTGAACAACTTCACCCCCTCCTTAAAATCAAGGGTCCCTTTGGCTGATGACAGTACTGCACCTGTCACAATTAGAAAAGTGGGAGTTTAATGACCACCTCTGAGGTTACACTCCAGTTACTGTGACATCTGCCAGTGACATCTGCCAGTAAGCACTGCTATGAAATCCTGCAGTATTTCTGTTAAAGCAGCGTGTTCAGAGTGAGAAAGTGTGTAACTGAAGTAGCTGCAGGTGGGGACGATACCATCTCCCATTTTCACTGTTACCCCCTAACCAAGCCTGCAGATCTTTAAGCACACATTAACTTTGTCATACGATTCATTTTTAAGTTGCAAATAGGCAAGAAAAGGTGGACTCAATGCATCAGTTTGCTGTCTGCCCTTCTGGAAAGTAGCGAGGGAAGCGATGAGGAACAACTCAGAGGTTTAGGTTTTCTACTCGGACTTCCCCAGCCTCTCTAGCAACTACTGCGAACACCCTTACTGCTTTCATCCTTCAGCTTGAAAAGCCCCTGCAGCATTCCGTTTTAGCTGGCAGCAGCAAACTAAACCGAAGAAATACCTACTGGTCAGCGCCACAAAGAATCAGCTTTACAGCGTCAGGCACGCCTAAGCCAGGTGTTTTCCTTCAGTGTTCTCTTCAGAAAATGGCAGCGCAGGAAAACAAGGCAGTGCACAGAACAGGAACAGCAGAATTGCTGAGAAGAGTCAGATGAAGTTCCCCAAGACTTCATGCATAACCCCCAAATGAAGGGGCTGTCCTCCAACAGATCTGCTAGTTTCCTGCCTTCCTAGAGCTACTCTTGCAGCTAGACTGTCAGCATATTGGAGTATTTCACTGCCTTCCCCTCTCAAGCATTCTACTGCACCTACCTGTGGTCTCTGGAAACTTTCCACGTGTTTGCAAGACAGCTTACTGCAAAGCAAGCGTCCCTGCTGCCAGAGAGGAATCCAACAGATTGCTTCTGACCCAGCGAGCACCAGACAGCTCGTAATGTGGCACCAGAGAGTCATCACTGGGGCAGCAAGAAGTCAGCTCACTCCTGAACTCACCTAGATGTCATCCATTAAGTCCGGAATGAAGTTCAGCAACACGAGTTTTGTACTTCAGTCGGTCACCTCGTGCGGCTCCTTGCTAGGCCTGCCAGCAACCCTCCCAGCGGCAGTGCCAGTCACACCACCAGCCTGACAGAGCACATCCAAGGCCAAGCTGTTCCCATCTTTGCCCTCTGCTGGGTGCTGTGGATAAAGCAGTAAATTGCACTTACAGAAATACCAGACCGAGTATTTGTGTGAATTTTGAAAGAATTTCTTTCTCCTTCAGGCATCGTACTCAGAAGCAAAGTGCAGAGAAATACTCACTCACACAGGGAGGGAAATAAATTCAGCTTTTAAACAAGTCTGACAACTAGACAACTTTTCTCACTTCATGCCACGTTTTCAGTACAAATCTTAGTCAGCAGCTTCTCACCTGCCACTTAAATGAGCTCATCAAAAACCCCACAACTACAATAGCAAGCAGATTTATTGCCCCACTCAAAAGAATCAGAGTAATATATAGTTTTGTTGACTCACGATTAAAAATTTTCCCTGACACACACTTTCCTCTGGAAGAACAAACTCCAGTCTTAGACCCTTTTTCATACTAAAGTGTGCTTTTTCAGATTTAAGAGTTTATATGGCTTAAGACTTATACATCTGTTCCTTAAATTGTACATCTAATCCTACTCATCACAAAGATCCACCTAGACATACCAGATACAACACAAGACAGCAACCCAAACTCACACTAGAGAAGAGTCTCCAGCAACAGATCAGATGTTACACCCAGTGACAAGCTTGACACCACTCCGAAACCAGCTTGTACAAGTATGTTCCTTGACTAATTCATCTGCCTTATCCTGAAAGGACCCCCTCATCACAGAAATATAAAGACTCCATTTGGATACACAGGTGTTGTGCTTGTGTGCATCTTTAAACTGCCAGCCACATGGAATTCCTAGAAAATTTAGTCCAATGTACAGGAAACAACAGAAAATGCAAAGACCTATATTTACCTAAATTAAAAAAAGGAAAAAAAAAAAGTCAGGTAGTTTAATGCTGATTGCTAAAGGCAACACCACATAGATTCATGTTTTGGGACCACAATTAACACAGTAGTTTAAAGAAATATGCCTAACTCTAAATTTAGACACTTAGCACTGCATGACCTAGCTTAATAATAGCGCTGGCTTCTGCAGGCTTTAATCCACTAAGCTATCTGTAATGGTGATCCATGCAAAAGCTTCCTTGGGCAGGGAAGAAAAAAAAATCCCAAAGAAGTCTAGTTACATTCAGTGACTTGTTAGAATCTAAGAGACTTTAAAAAAAATCTCTCAAAGAAGAACAAAAAAACCAAACAAAAAACCAAACAAAAAAAAGAGGGGTGTGGGAAATTAAATCACTGTGTAAGTTTGTGAAGCGCAGCTCAGTTGATGTTATTTCCCTAAAAGTAGCTCAGAAGGAGGCATTCAGGGTCTATCGTCACTACGTGTCCACGTACATCTACAACTTTCCGGGCTTACCTAGGCTATTGTCAAGCCCTGAAAGATTTAAGTGGTTGTAGGGTGAAACAGAAACATGCACCTTCCCTGCGTACCTAGGATGTACGTACTCCAGTGCGCCAACGGATCAGCATCTGTTTCCTTTTACTCCCCATCTTTATGCTGACCCACCTCCATTATTTCTTTTCGTATAAGCTTACTCCAAGCACCTAACAGGACATAGTACCAAGCGTTAGTAACCTTGCAGCAGTGGCTGGGCAGCTTCAGTACGCTGCATTTGCACGGCATTTGCTTGGGTGAGGATAAAATGCTTAACAAAAACTCCAATAAAAACCATTACGAGAGAGCTGCCCAGAAAGACTCCTGCGACAGTAGCATAGGTGTCTCCTCCAAAGGCTACAGGACCTTCTTCAGCCAGCATGTCTTTCACAGCGTGGAACGAACCATTGTTTGGCAGCGGGTTAACACCAAGTAGATGGCACAGTAAGGGGTACAAGTCCGTAGCATTCATGACTTCTTTGGTGGCATTCTTTCTGAAAGCAGGCCCAAATGCCAAAAAAATTGGATGCATTTCTGGTAAGGTGTTGTCATATCCATGATTACCAACTAGAAATAAAAGATAGATAAAGGTCAATATTCTGAAACTGCAAAAGGAGCATTGAACCTTTTTTCCTGGAATTAGCACGATGCAGAAGAGGAACAGCCATCATTTATTCTTGCAGAGGTTTGGAAGAATTACTTTGATCAACAGCACAAATGTCTCCTAGCAAATACCAAGTGTCAGAACTACAACGAGAAAATGCCTTTAAAAAAAAAGAATGGAGAGCACTGTTTAAAAAAAAAAAGAAAAAAATAAAAGGTAAGCTCACACGGCAGCACCAGCGCCGGCATGCTACGCTACATCCAAGTGTCCTTGATTTCCCTCAAGGAAAAATCCATGACTGACTGTCTGACAGGCTGTCTGACTCCTCACAGCAGACAGAACTTAAGCTCTGACTGCTTGCACACCTTGTTCAATTTTGTGCACTATCTACTCATCAACAAGGAAAAAGTTTACAGGTGTCACCAGTGGGTCTCCAGTGCCCCTTCCTTATGGGGGCACTACAACCCCTGAACAGGTAAATAAACACGCAGGCACAAAAAGCTGCTCTCATCAGCTATCGACAGCTGAAAAACTTGGTAAGTCTTGCAGGTAACGCTCTCAGCTTCATAACCACCAGTGAAGCTTAAAGGGGTTTCAATTAAGAAACTTAAGAACTGACCATATGACACCTGTATTTTTCCTCCTGGCTAACCAGAAGTTACAGCTTACCGTCTCCATTCTACCTATAATAAATCTCAAAACCCCAAGGTGAGGAACTGAAAAAGCCTCCAAATCGTCCAGCATGCCACAACACACACAAAAGTCACTGGGGCGCAGTAACGCAATATTCTTTCTAGCAGTAGAACAAGGTTACTAGAAGTGTAGGAATCCAGAGAAGCCGAGGACTTTCAGAAAGCACTCTTGTACTTCCAACCCAACCCTTGTCCAGTAAATAAACAGGACATGATAAAACACTACTCATCCTCGACGCAACAAGTTCAGTTATAACTTCTTTTTTGTTGTTTTAATCTCTCAGGAAGCGTTTGTCGGTTTGCTACACCTCACAAGGAGACCTCAAGTATGTGGCCACTAAGACATGTGAATGATCTTATCTCAGCAAGTTTAATTTTTAGAAACAGCAAGTCCAGTTCCCCTGCTCTTATAGTAGGGCGCTTCCCATCCCGTCAGGGAAAAAAAGAAAAATAAATTCTACACACTCTGCTTCAGAGCTTTCCCTCCCAGTCTTAAAAAAACCCAAAAATTAACATTGGTTGAGATTGGGAAAGAAAGAACCACATAAAGTCTCTGACTAGGAAGATGCAGCAAGACAGTGTAAAGACAGAATACTTACGTAGAAAACCATCAGACTTCTTATACACAATTTCCCATCCTTTATCAGCCACTGCTAAGATGGGCTGAATTCTACTGTTGTGTTTGTAACGCAATCTGTCTGGAATCTGCTCCTTTTTATACACAGTCATGTTGGGATGAGCACTGGCCAAAGCTTTGTATACTTCATCCAGTTTGCCTTCAAACAAACACAAGAAACAAAACACAAAACATACCAATGCATTTACTGAACTCATCAGGACTTTAAACACAACTGCAAGAAGAGGGCAAAAGCACTTCCCCAAAAGCCAGTTACAGCTGCAAGGGAGAGCAGCGGATCATGATGCCACAGAGGTTACTGCGAGAGATCCAGAGCGTCCTTCACAGCAAGATCACACCTGGCATCAGACTTCACAGCCTATTCCTACGTAGTAAGCGCCTTGCTAATTTTAGAAAAATCCCTTATTTCATAGTTACCAGAATGCAAACTTCTCACAAGAATGAGTGAAAATGAGCATTCACTTAAGTCTCACAGAAAAGAAACCAGCTGCTCCTAGCTCCATGCAAAGCCTGAAAGCAAGAAGATGGCTCCTACACCTGTTCTGGAGGTAATGTGCACCTTAAGGCCATATCCTGCCTGTCTCCCGGTTGGCTAGGATGACAAGTGACACTTTTTATTTATTTTAAAGCAGTTCAGTTAGTAGTTGCTTTCTTTCAAAAGGCCAAAGAGAGCAGTCGCTTTGTTTCTTGGCATCTCTGAAAACTGATTTCTACGTGGACCCAACTATTTATTTCTCCTTCCACAAGATCCTCCAATAAACAGCTACATATTTGACCTCGCTTCATTCCCAGTTTTGATCTTCTACCATTCTGATGACAAGTTTAGCCAATTTGGGGAGGGCAGCTCGTGTGTTGCTATGCCCCACGTAAGATCATCGTATTAACAATGAATTACCTCGGGACAGGCAAAACTAGCACTGATCTTTCAACAGACGCCCTCAGGCCACAGTCCAGACGCCACTACCACGCCAGGAGCTGTACGAAGATCGCAGAGGCCCAAGCAGGGAACACATGACAGACGAAGAGAGAGGTGGGACAGGCAGATGGAGATGGCACTCTTGGTGTAGGGCTGTCTGCCACGCCGCGTGTTCAGTAACGGCTCACAGCACCGCCTACTCCTCCGTATCCGCAGCGCCGACTCCTCTCCCTTCCCGAGCCACCTACGGCACGGCGAGCGCAAACCCTCAAGAGCTGTGCTGACATCACCAACCAAACAGACATTTTCCACCCCCAATTCTGTATCTGCTTACTTCCAGTTTCGGAGCTTTTCTTTCCAGTAAAAGACACTGAACAGCCAGAAAGCAGCTGGCCAAGCGGGACCACCAGCGCACAGAAAGGAGGAGCCAGGACAGGAAGATGAAAGCCAGTTCAGGAATCTGCATCTGAGCAAGTTTCTTCAACTCCCCCGGCTCTATTTAAGCACGGATTCCTGTTGAGGGCTACGCAGCACATCTAACAGACTTCTGTTACCTACCAAATAACTCCGCTCCACCACTTATTTCAGGACTTTGTGCCCCCCC